GACTTAAAGCTTTTCTTTTTTTTTTGTCGTTCCATTTCCACTTTCATCATCGGTGGGCTGTGACATTTGGCTCACTTGACTACTTTCACCAACTTGCTCAGACTGAGGTTCTAACATTCTTTTGTATTCATTAAATAAGTCTTTTATTGCTTGTTGTACTTTTTTAATCATCAATGAAGCTTCATCAGAAGAATACATTTTCATGAAGCAATATTCAACAAAAGAAAACTTTTTTGAAGGATCAAGAAGAGAAGCAATATAAACCAACATATTCATCTTCTCTATATTTCCCCAATACTTATCATATTTATCCTTCATTCTTTTTGCCATTGCATTCAACTCAACATCAGGATTTAATTGCCATTCTCACAAAGTGGAATAAACATCACATATATCATCAAGAAAAGTATTAGATGTGACGTAAGAAGTACCTGAAACTTTCACAATGAGATCATAAAATTGTTGCAAGAAAAGGCAAAACTTTCTAACAATTACCCAATCATTTTGATCGGGTACCCCATCTCCCATCAAAAGCTCATTTCTATAATAAGGATCAACATCATCAAATGCATCAAATGCCCTTTCAAACTTTTGAGCTGCATCCAACATCAAATAAGTAGAATTTCATCTAGTGCTAACATCCAAACACAATAAACTTTTACTTTGAATATGTTCATTCACAATACACTCTTTAAACTTAGCTAACCTGGAAGGTGATTGTCTCACATATCTTATTGCCCCTCTAACACGAGCAATTGTTTCATTCATTTCCTTCAATCCACCACAAACAATAAGATTAACAATATGTGCAATGCATCTTAAATGAAGATATTTGCCTCCCAAAATACTAGTTCCAGCATTGTTAAATTTTTTCCTCAAATATGCAATTGCAACATCATTAGAACTAGCATTATCAACTATAACAGTAAAAATCTTATCAATCCCTCAATCACGCAAACATTTTTCAACTGCCTTACCAATAGCTTCACCTTTGTGACTAGAAATGGGACAAAAATTTAATATCTTTTTGTTTAGTTTCTAATCTTTGTCTATGAAGTGAGTTTAGACACCAATAATTGCTTTGTATGAAGGTCATGTATCAGTGGATAAGAACTCTGTAATATGATTTCATGAATATTCAAATGAGTCTTTTCATCAATTATTAAAGTAGCCTCAATCCATTGTGATGGAACGAAATCTAGGACATGGCAACTGACTGCAAGGCCTATCCTTTCACAAATCTGAAATGGATAACTCATTCAAAATGATCATTTTAGCTTACAGCTTTTCTAACAGCATCTTGATTAAATTATCAAGTGCCTAAAGATTCCCACTCAGCCTGACGGACAACACCAATTCTGTTTGAGTACCATCATACTAACGGAATTTTTATTAATGTGATTCCTTTAAAGCGGTGGTTCCATTCTTTTTAGGATCAGCAAAAAATTTTTTCACTAATTACACCTAGCTTTACGATTATCCTTCCTCATAACAAATTTAGAAAGTGGCCCATACCTCTAACCATGGCTTAGATGCTCGTCTCATCACTTTGAAATTTGCAGTTGCACTTTTTGTTACCTCATCATATGCAGGAAGTTGAGAGGCCAATTGTGTTTGATTAGTTGTAGAATCCAAAATCATATCATTCACTTCATTTGACATCTTCAAAAAAAAATAAGCAAGTGATCAAATTATATCCAAACAATAAAAAATAAATAATTAAATTATATTAAAATAATAAATAAAAATAAAATTATATTCAAATAATGAAAAAATAATAAAGTAATATTCACACAATTATTGAACACATTGGATATTCAAATAATGAAATAGTTTGTTAATCAAACTATATATTAATTGCTTATTTTATCAACAAACAATATAAGTGTCTAGCATAGTTTAGGCTAATTTATTTTAACTTTTAATTTAAGTATCTAATATAATTTAGATTAATTAGTTGCTAGATCTGGTAAGAAAGTTAAAACTTAAAAGTGCTAGATCTCTGACAATAGATTTCTTTAAATTCTTTATTCTCGAATAGTTGTGTTTTAAATTTATTTTTCTATGTATACATCCAGTATTTACACACTCTACTTCAAGGTGTAAATCACTTAAACTATTTCTGTCTTTTGCTTGTGAGTTGTGGGACCATTCTTGAATCGTCTTAGTCCACATCATTACCATGTTGCCATACCATGAGTCATCCTTAAATTACCAAAAGAAAGCAACAAAATCTGCATTTATTAAAGCTGCAGCTCATTTCATAACCAAATGATCTCATCAATCCTTTGATTTCATTTCTTCTCATTCATTCCAAGTGTGTTCTTCACACTTTCCACAGCACCCTGAGCCATGCCCTTCATTTGCTCTCCAGTCTGCAATAGTAGAAATTCATATTTCATTAGTTTCCTAACCAAAGCTCAAAATAACGTAAACTTTATCAATTATCTGTTTAATGTACCCTAAAATGAGGTATTATTATTATTGAAAAGCAAAAGAATTGATGAAAGGGAATGACAGATAAAGAATAAACTTGCTGAAGGAAACCAGTAGTCTGCTGCAGGAAACCAGCAGTCTGCTGCAGGAAACCAGTAGTCTGCTGCTGTCTTTGCTGAGCAGACTCTTAAGCTGATTGAGTAGCATTTGTTGCCTGGTCTCTAGCTGCATTTGCAGTATCCTTATAATTGCAGAGCTTGAATTCTGCTTGGGGAATAGACTTAACTAAATCAGCAGATAAAATTCATCAATCTGAGAAATGTGTGCTTCACCACACATTAATTGGTTTCCCCAGTCAGCCTCCATGCTAGAAAATATCATTTTCTTTTACTTTTTCTTGAGTCCACTGTCCATATCGTCTTAGTCCGAATAGTTGTTGCTTTCTTTTGGTAATTTAACGAAGTAAGTCGAAACTGGCAGAAACTATTATTAAAAATCTTGCTCCCTTCATTTTTATAAGTTAAAGTGCTTTCCTTGACTAAAAGGAGTATTTTCACAGCTTGCTACAGATACTGTAAATCCAACGTGGGACGTGAAAGGTTTTAACTTTTGATCCTTTTGTTCCAGAACCTAGTCAATCAACTGGAGGAGTAAACAAGCCACTGAAAGTCCTAGACCTATTCCTTCTAGGCTAGAGATAATGTCCATCTATTGAATCACTCTAAACAAGTAAACAACAAAAGCTACTGAAAAATACCAACAAAAAAAATATTATTGTGGGCATACCTTGGGGCTGAGGTTTGGCTGTTTGGGTTATGCTTTAGCTTAAAACATACAGGAAGAATACAGCTCTAAACATCACGCTAAAAGAAAAAATAAAGGTTATTAAGATTTAAGAACTTACGATGGCGTCTTGGGCAGATTGATCTCTACAACTGTGGATCTTGTGTAGCAAATTAGAGGGAGCAAAAGATTATAAGGCAAGTAGCCAAGCAAGAGAGTAAGAGGGAAGCAAAGATATAGGAGATTGAAGGAGAGCAAACTGTAAAGGACAGAGACACAGTAAGCTGCAACAGAGGAAGAGCAAAGAGCAGAAAGGGAAACGGCTGGGTGGATGAGTTATAAAAAAAGTAAGTTAAATTTAGGTTTTTTTAAAGAGAATTTACATATTTACCCTTAATTATTATAAGATTGGTTAATTCGGTTAATTCAATTATTAATTTTAAAAATCGATAACCGATCGATTTAACTAATTTAACCGATTTTAAAATCGATTACAACCGAAAACCGATTAAATCGAACCGAAATGATCATATTTCATAATTTCGGTCAATTAAATCGGTTAGAACCTATATATGCTCACCCCTAGCAAGATGGATGGGGGGATTGAGACTGAATTGGATCAAAGCATACGACCGATATTTAATGAGACATTAACGATAAGGATGGTGATGATTTAAGTGAGATTTGATTTGAATTTTTTTAGATATTTTATAATATTATAAAATTTTAAATTTTGATTTAAATTTAAATTAAATTTTTATTCTATTTAATTTATTTGATTGAAATTGAATTAAATTTATTGATTTGTTTTTATTTTGTTTATTAATTTTTAAATTTTTTATTTTTATATATTATTTTAATATAAAATTTTAATATATTTAAATAAATTTTGATATAAATTTATTATTTTTATTTTATAAAAATTTAAAATATATATAATTCAATTCGATTTTTTTATTTTTTATTTTCTAATCCAAACTTAATATATATATTTAATATCTAAATTTAAATTTAAATTAGATAAAAAAATTGATCCAACCTAACACTATAATTTCTAATCAATTTTTAATTTTTTCGATTTTTTTTTCTCACCCCTAAGTTAATTGTTGGGGCTTGAAGAATCTGACCTTTAAAATGTGAGCAAGATGCCTTCCATTTCATGGCTAACATAGACCTTTAAAATCTTCTGTTTCTTTCTTTCATTTTTCTTCTCAAATGCCTAACCAAACCCAATATTCCTTCAATATTTCTCTAGGAATTTTCATTATAATACATCTATATTGGAAAATCAACACCATTTTATTCTTCATGTTTTTCAATTTGAATTTACAACTTTTAATTTTGACGTTTTTCAAAATTAAATTATTAAATTATATAATTTATACCTAAATTTGAGTTTAATTCATATAATCACTCTTTAAAAAATGTAATCTAATAGAATTCAATTTTTTTTTTATTTTCATCCTTTTTTTTGTAAAAAAATACACCCAAATTATGAAATTGGCAATCCAAAATTAGCATCCATGTTTATTTTTAATCATAAAAGGTTTTAATGGACCAAATTCAAATATAATAAATGTGAATATGCTTATCCATAATTAAAATTTTAAATTAAATAATCAACAATTATGTGATTTATTTTTAGAGCATAAAATAAAGGTTGGATTCTTAAATTTTTTTATTTGAATTTAAAAAAAAAAGTAATAAAATTTTAAAAAAAAAAGGGAAAAGCAAGTATTTTAAAGTACATTAATTAAAGAGAGAAAGAAGGTTAAGAAGGCTGTTAGATGAGCGTTCGATTATCCTCATCCAAAGAAAATAAAACAAAAAGCCTCTCAATTTTTTCGAACCAACGCAAAACTTGAAATAAGCTTGCGACAAACAGATAACTTGTCGGTTAATCAAACGCCACCGTATCTCTTTCTTCTATATACATTCCTCTCCCTCGCTCTTCCCCAAAATATTTCCATAGAAAGCGAAGAAGCTTCAAACGACGACGTAGAGAACTATGTCTTACGATTATCTTTTCAAGTACATAATCATCGGTGACACTGGTAGCCTTTCTCTCTGTTTGAAAATCCCAATCTGGGTTTTTTTTTATTTTTATTATTATTGTTTAGAAATAGTTTCAGCTTTTTAAAATTTTTATGGGTTTTGATTGGGTGTGATGCAGGCGTAGGGAAATCATGTTTGCTTTTGCAATTTACGGACAAGAGATTTCAACCTGTTCATGATCTAACCATCGGTGTTGAGTTCGGTGCTCGGATGGTCACCATAGATGGCCGACCCATCAAGCTTCAGATTTGGGATACTGTAAAATCCTCACTTTTAAACCTTTTTTTCACTTTGTTGGGTTGTTTGGGGTATTAAAAGTTTAAATTTTTTAGTTGTGGCATATGAATAATTTAGTTATATAAGCCAAAGAGAGTGTTGGGAAAGATCTTAGATTCTGTAAAAATCATGACTTTTTTGTTTAAATTTTGTATTTTTATGTTCTCTATGGCTGTTTAGCGAAAAGGGTATTTGAAAGTAATGAATTTTGGTGAGAAGGGTAATAAAATTTAAATTTCTTAGCTGTGGCATATGAATAATTTAGGTATAGGAGCCAAAGAGAGTGTTGGGAAAGATTTTAGATTCTGTAAAAATCATGACTTTTATGTTTAAAGTTTCTATTTTTATGTTTTCTATGGCTGTTTAGCAAAAAGGGTATTTGAAAGTAATGAATGTTGGCTGTTGGGTATGGAAGAATTTAGGTTTAAGGCAAAAGAAGATGATGACAGGTAATATGGATTTATTTTGGGGTAGAATTTGGTGGGAATTGAAATTCATTTTAAGTGGAAAAGTGTGCAGTTGTTTTTTGTTTGATTGGTATTGAGTTGGTTTAATGGTTTGAATATCGTAGGATTGGTGAGTGAACAGACGAGAGGGGAAAGCTTTTGAACTCAGTAATCTTGTAAGGAAAGGTGTAAGTTAGTCCTTGTAACGACTTGTTTTATAGGAAATTATGTTCTCGGCGGTGTTGTACACATTAGGTATTTGTTAAGTTGTTTTGTAGGAAGTCTGCCTTCTTTCATAAAAGGGAGACTACCTTGAAGAGTTAGTAATTCCTTTGTCGGTTGCTTTCTACTCAGGGAATGATGAACCAACGAAACTTAGCTTATTAATGCATTTAATGGCATATTTTATCTGATCTCAATTATAAGTGTTTTTTCGGTTGTGTGATCAATTTTTTGTTTCATTGCTCATTGATTTGATGGATTTGAGCAAGAGCTTTTATTGCTTATATTTCAGGCTGGGCAAGAATCATTCAGGTCCATCACCAGATCTTACTATAGAGGAGCAGCAGGGGCTCTTCTGGTCTATGATATAACCAGGTGAGAGACGAAATTGTCTTTGGGTGTGGAATTATATGGTATTATTTGCAAGGTAGTGGAGATTTGTAAAACAAGGTTGTGGTGTGCAAGCATGCTTAAATAATGAATGTGGAAGAGGTGAAGTTTACACCTCCTGCATCTCGCTATTGTAGCTTTTCCTTCTAGATTTTTCCTTTCCCTTGGAATTAAGCAACTGCTTAATCTAATTTCCTCTGGGTTAGAATGCTAAGACCAATTTTTTTCTTTTATTATACGACTTTCAGAGCTTATAAAACATATCTGTGTTGCCCCTTTTCTGGTGAAATCTAGTTCTGGCACATTTGAATTTTCTTCTACTGAACTGAAAATTTGTACTCTTGACCAGGAGAGAGACATTTAATCATCTAGCAAGCTGGTTGGAAGATGCACGACAGCACGCAAATCCCAACATGACAATCATGCTAATTGGGAACAAGTGTGATCTTTCTCACAGGAGGGCTGTTAGCAAAGAAGAGGGTGAACAGTTTGCAAAAGAAAATGGGCTTTTGTTCTTGGAAGCATCTGCGAGAACAGCTCAAAATGTTGAGGAGGTAAGTTTTACCCCTTAAGTAGCACATCAAATTGTTTATATCTAGTGTTATCTGTATAGTTGGAATTTATAATGTTTTCTTCATTCCTCTTAATGAATGCTTTTATCTAAATTACTGAATCATCTTGTAGGCCTTCATAAGGACTGCTGCAAAAATCCTTCAAAACATTCAGGAAGGAGTCTTTGATGTATCCAATGAGGTAATAATCAAAGCCACTTTTATTTTAGGGATGTCTAGAACCAAAGATTCATTATATTTCTTTCTCTAATTCATCATGCTAGAATTAAAGTAACTCAATAGTAATACTATTGATTATAGATTTAGACATGGGCTATCACTCCCCATGTAGAAGATTGGCATTGTTTCAGGTGATCTATTGGGCAATCCGGCCATCCAAAATTTTGGCTCTTCTTAATACCCCTAGAAACTAAAGAAAGCCATGATTTAGATGGTTCAAATTTTGTATGGGAGGGTTGATAAACTTGTGTAATGTGGTTTAAACCAAGAATTAGCTTTCATTAATTGAGAGATGAGTTCAGCTTGATTAATTTTCCTTTCATCACAAGTCTAAAGTACGTCTCACTTAAAAAAAAAGCCTTTGCTTTGAAATTTTTGCAGTCATCTGGTATCAAGATCGGCTATGGCCGTGCCCAAGGTCCATCAAGTGCAAGAGATGGAACAGTTGCTCAGAGTGGTGGCTGTTGTGGTTCATAGAATGGAAACAATCTTTTACACGTATTTGATCCTTCTGTCCAATTCATTTCTACATCACATTGCTTTGATGAATATAATCCTTAAAGGTGTTGTTGAACTTAGCAAGAAAACTGAACTTATAGAGCTAGTCTTTTCTTTTCTTTTCTGTTCTTTGTACTGAACTAGGAATTCATATGTTACGACTCATTTTAATTTAATTTGAATCATTTGCACTGTAACATATAAACGAATTTTATCCCGTAATGTTTCCCAGTGTTTACATCCTTACCTTTAATAGATGCTTGATGAACTGATAACAAAAACATGGAAGTAACATTATTTAAAATTTTAGTAAAAAATGTAATGAGTTTGATAAGAATAAGAAAATGTATTCTATATTTGGTATGTGGATATTCACTATATTTTTTGTATTATATACGTAATTCACAACGTTTAAATGATTTATTTAGTCCCACAATTAGTTCTATTTCAAGAACCATTGGTTTTGCCAAGTGCCAAATCTTTTTTGTTGGGATTAGTTTTGGTAATTTCAATTACGGTATGGTGATATTATATAAAAATATTACGAATAAAAGATATAAAAATAATATAATTTAAAATTTTAATAAAAGATACAGTGATATTATATAAAAATAATACGAATAAAAGATATGGAGATGATATAATTTAAAATTTTAATAAAAATTATAAATTGATTTAAAAAAATAAAAAATATATATTTCATATTTTTATGTTCAAATAAATTATAATACATAATTTTTGTATAAAATATTATATAAATACATAAATTATTAATATTTTATTTGATATAAATACACAAATTATCAACTGGGGTGAACTTGACTTTTAAATCCCATCCTCCAAACTTCAAGCAGATCACATGATTTCCTTGAGTTTACATGTTGACAACTAGTAATGGTTTCCACACCTCCACGATGGACATTCAATGCTTCTTGTTTGTGACAGAAATCCGGACACATCTCACTTAATGTTGGAATTTATTTTAGTTGTACATCACTTTTCAATGCTCACTAACACCATTTCCTGGCTGTTACTCAAAGCATTTAAGTAAAAATTTCATGGTTGGCTGTTATTCAATTTTAACTGGTACACAACTGTCAGAGTTATGTTTAACTTAACATTCACCCATTGGCTTAAAGAACTGTGAATTGGAATGCCACATGCAACATAAAGAAATTGCAATTGATTCATGAATAAACTACATGGGTAATTTTGATTTGTACTAAGGGAATTAACATAGAAATCTTTTCCAGAAATTGCATCTTTTCTTTGATTAAATTCTGTAACGTATTTTCCCAGATTCATATTGTAAAGATCCCTTTGTTTACAGTCCAATCCTGGATTGAAAAAAGTGGGTTGCAAATAGTAATAGCTAGTAGCTACCCTATATCAGTCAAGATCTGGGAGAAGGAAAAGCAGGAAAGACATTCAAAACCTAGAAAGAGAAGTTGAAAACTTCAGCTTTTACATTAAAGACAATAAAAAAATAAAAAAAAAAAATCAAGCAATCCTAGGGAGAGAGTACCTGGAAGGCAAGCCTTTAAGGCCAGGGCCTTTACAAGATTTTTCAAAGCATTTCATGGTGGTAGGATTGACTTGAATGAACATATAGTTTCCAGCAAAAAGATCACCAAAATGAGCCTTACTTTCTTTCAATCTCTGCATCAACTTTGCAAATGAAAGCCTGACCAGCTTAACTTTCCTCTTCAAGAATCTTTTCAAACTTGGAACCTTCAACCTGAATCTTCTCCTAACGGGTATCTTTTTCAGCCTGTACCAGGCTCTTGATCTCCCAATCAATGTCTCTGCTATTTCATCAACATCAAGCTCATTACCTTCATGTCTCAATCTCTGGTAAGAAAACTTGGCAGTTGAGGCCATCTCTCAATGGTACACTTGGGAACTTTTCAGAAAGCTGAACAATGAACAAAAAACAAAAAACCCAGATAAGTTTGTGAAGGAAAAGGTGGCTAGTCTCTCTGAATGGATAAGTAATTTGATTGGAATATGAGTTTTTCGGTTCCTTCTAAATATACATGGTTGGTTTCGCTGAAACAGTTGGGTGCATTAACTGCAGATGCAGAGGCAGGTCATTTTGGGAGTTTACATCATTTCTTTGCCCATCATTTAGCGTAAATAATATAACAATGATATTAAAATAATCTTTTATCATTTAGACTTAATTTTATGATTATTATAAAATGGCTAAAGGTTGATGTTTACACTCTACGGTTCATGTTTTGCTCATATGTTTAATTTTTACTTTCCTTTTTCATCCATGTAAAACATATAACTGAATTTATGAGATTCATTGATTGTATTCTTTTGAATGGATAATTAACATTCCAAAATATACAAAATTTTTAATTTGTTTGAAGTTTAAATTTTATTGTCTATAATTTTATATTTTATTTTCATATTACCAATTTATATATATATAAATTTAAAAAAAGATTTATTTAATAAATTTTATTAACAAATATTTTGTATTTATAATTTATTAACGAACTTTAAAAAGTGTCGTTAAGATTTTTTTTTTTTTTTGGCCAACCATAAGACACTAGTTAATAATAAAAAAAAAAACATCATCCTTCCTCTTATCTTGTAACCATTGCCATAGCCAACAAATAATAAATAGGTTGGATCTCAATATATTTGTTAAAGTAAATTATTTTATATCTAATAAATATTTAATTTTTTATAATTTTATATTTTGATTGAATCTCTTTATTTATTATTAATTAATTTTGAGTTGAATACTTAACATAATATTAAAATTAAAATTTTTTTTTCATTATCCTTTTCAATAATAAATTTTTTTATCTCTACCTACAAAGGATAGGACCTATAACCTTATATTCATATTATATTTTTTCACTAATTGCCGAGTGATTTTGTGTTAAATATTTAACAATATTTTTATACGAAAAGCCATTAAATGAAAGTCATCAGATGTGATTACTTAACAATCTGCATGTGATTATCTTCAAAATTATTCTACAGAGTAGAATTAAATTCTCCATCAGCCACTCTCAAGACTTGAGAAACTTGAAAAAAAAAAAAAACACTTGGGGTCACAAGAATTAAAATTTACTAATAATAAGTTTAGAATCTCAGATGTAATTAACAGTTTTATTGTAAAGAACAGGACTTTAATTTTTTTTTTAATAAATTATACATTCAAGATTTTACTTAAACTTAATCATACCTAAATTTAAGTTTTTCATTAAATAATCTTAAAGAATTTAATCTTTTTCATCAGTAGTACATTCTTTTAAATGATACATTTAAAATTTTACTTTCAAAATACTTTCAAGATTTTATTAAGATTTTTTATTTGAACAATCTTAAAGAAGCACTGATTATCTAAATGTAGCATTTAAAATTTTATTTTTGAAATAATTCCGAGATTCTATTAAGATTTAGTTGAAGATTGAATTATTTGAAGCATAAGAATGAGACAACCACAGACCTGAAAGCAACCCAAGGTTCAAATTTAAGTAATAGCATCAACCAATGCCTAATTTCTGTCAAACTACAACCAGAAATAGACCTAATTTATATCCCAATAACTCTAAATTTCTTTCGTAAACCCAACAATTCATATATTTATGTCATATAAAATATTAAAATTTATATATTTATATTATATTTTACGTAAAAATTAGATATCATAATTTACTTCGACATGAACACAAAATATTTTTTATTTTATTAAATTTATATATATCTATTATTAAAATTTTAAACAGTTTCACTTTTATATTTTATTTTTATATCTTATTTATGTCGTATTACCATATCACGTTTTAGATTTCTAAGTCTAGTTATGCACTATATAGTAAAATTAAACTAATTTATTAAATTTCCATTAGCTTCTCAGCTTTTCATGTGGTCAAATATATCGAAGGAGCATTGATCATAATTCATAAGGGCAACAAGGAGGAACAAATGAAATAATCAAATACCAGAAATGTACAGAGAATTCAAGCCAAAAAAGAATCTACAAAGCATGATGAGATGCCTTCCTTGGGTCACAGGCACCAGAAACTGACTTCATCAGACCTACACTATTTGCATATTCTCAATAACAAATTTAACAAGGAAAGATGGGCAAAGATGATTTTAAAAGAAAAAAAAAAAAAATCAGAAGTAGAGCTTGATTTTCGTTTGGATTGGACTTCGACATATTGGACAGGTTTCGAGGTCTTTCGAACATTCTTCACAGGTCTGAGAGAATAAAAATCAGGTAATATTATGTCAGCACCTTCCTTTGTACACCAAGAACTGAAAAGAAACAGAATTAGAGGCATTTACCTGATGTCCACAACCAAATGCCATGTCTTTCGAGTTACTAAGGCAAATGGGACAAAGCTGTTCGAAACAACAGCAAAGGAATATATTAGCTTTCGAGATAAATAACCAAATATAGAAGAATTGAGGCATCCAGAAATAGGCAGTTGGTCTTGCTCTTTTCGGATTTCAGTTCAAAGTTGAACGCTAAGGCGGCTTGTTGTTAATAGAAGATATATCGACTAACTGAACAACTACATCAAAATTCTCATACCTGACTATCATAAGTAGAACTTGGAGCTGGGGGAGTTGAGCTGACAGGACTAGTATCTTCAGGATAAGGAGGGACGGTTGCTTGGAAACGGGTAGGATGAGTTGGTTTTGAGCTGCTGAAAGATGCTGAACCATATTGGAAACTAGTAGAATAGGAAGGTTTCGAGCTGTTGAAAGATGCCGCACCATATGCAGGAGGAGGTAGGGGAACTCTCTCAGGAACATTTCCCTTTCGACCACTGCACAACAAATAAATTGTAAATCACCATCAAAACTTGAGTTGCAAAAGGGTATTATAAAAAAACCTTTCAAATGACCAACACAGAACGAATTTTTACCCCAGAATATTAAGCTCAATGGTTGCTTTGTACTGTGAAGGCATCTCCATTAAAGCAGCTAGAGCAAATTCTGTCTCCTTTCGAGATGGGGCTGTATTCTTTGACATAATCTCCGTGAAATTCACAAACTAAGAGGAAGAGAGAAGCAAAAGCAGAAAAACCTTAATAACTGAAGCATGATGATAATGCCATATGAACAAAAGACAGATGATATCTAACATGAAACATCTTGCATGCACACAGAATTTACCTGAAAATTATCAAATGCTCGAGCAGGAATGTTATCATCAAACTCCTTCATCATGTCCCAAGGTCCATCTCCAACACCAACCAATATAATCGACAGAGGAAGCTTGCTGTAATATAAGAAACAAGTAAGAAAGAAAATGGTTGCACACAGAAAAAAATGGATGAAAAAGGTTACGTCATGTTCACCTTGCTTGCACTATGGCATCAACAGTCTTCTTCTCTTGTGGACTTAGCTGGCCACGCTGAGTATCAATGCTTCTAGTTACCTGAAACAACCATCAGCATTTATAATGTTAAACCTATATGAAACTATAGTAAATCCTACTGAACCATCATAAAAAAGTTAATAACAATAGTAATAATGCATTGCAAAAAAAAAAATCATAAGTGGTACAGTAAACCATCATGCCAGCATTTTTTTATTCATTTTATTCCCATGCCAATACTAACACAAGTTTCCTTTCTGCTCATTTTTGCTTTCAAGCTAATCACTTGAGTAGTAAATCTAGTTCTCAAAAACCTAAATGAAGTAAAATCCACACATACAGAGCAAAATACCTGGCCATCAGCAATTATCACTAACACATGGTACTGGCCACCGCTCTGCTCAACAATGGTCATAGCCATTTCAATGATAGGAGCAAATGATGTTGGTCCTGGCAAGAAATTGTAATAATTTTATTTGATTGGATAAGCTTCAAAAAGTAACTCAAACAAACGATGAAAAACAGGAGTGTAAAGGAAACCTGCAAGTCGTAGATGAGGCACAATTTCTCTATAGCGGCTTAACACTTCCTCAAATCCATTACAAAATCTCTCATCTGGGTAGAAACTGAAGACATCTTGATCATGCGTCGATGCTGCCAACAAATATAAGTAATTCTTAGCATCTGCATTTAAATATATAGGCATCCCGATAGGAAAAACAAATTAAATACGAACCATCACCAAATCCAAAACAAGGAATTAAATTATCCTCATCAAAGGCAGCTAAGGTCTTCCCAATGATTGATATTGCTTGTTCATAGGGATTTAAACCATGTCCAATGTGGTGCAAACTTTTTCTATTGAATGATCTCTTCCCTACAAAACAGGCCAGATTCAGCAAGTTCTGCTATGGCTAATAACATAGATTACCAGCAATTAAGAAGTAGATCTTAACCTGTCCACTCGTTGCTCTTTGTGAAATCAATACCAACAATGAGATTGGAAGATTCAAGACCAGCATTAGCAAGAGCCTCCGTAACCTAAAATCAAGTAAATCATTCATGTCACCTTAAAATTTCCTTCATCATCTTGACCATCAACAATAGAAAATAAACAACTGAATAAGATTAAGCAGCAATTACCAAATTGTCTGGGGAAAAGAAGAAAGCATAAATAAATAAAAACTTCGAATAAAATGAAGCAATGTAGATATTAACCTGATCTAAGGAGTTGTAATTGTCTGCAATTCTCGAATACCTCCTCTGTATTGTCTTTTTAGCACTGCCATGGTCTTGCAAAGGTGGATGATATTGCGGCTCTTGTTGTGAAGGCGGATAATACTGCGGTTCTGGTTGTGAGTGCAGATAATACTGTGGGGACGCATAGCTATGCTGAGGCGCATGACTCGGGCTTTCTTGACCATATGATGACTGAGGATACCCATAATGAGAATTCCATGAAGATGAATTCTGCCTCCAACTTCCCTCCCTTGAACTACTACCCCCCATCAACCCAAGAAATTCACAATTCCTAGCAAAAACTGCTTCCTTCCTCCACAAACCAATCAACCAAATATAAGATTACCCGAAAACGAACGGCCCTGATATAAATGCAATCCACCAATAAACAAGAAGAAGAAACCAACAAAGAATGACAATTAAGGAATGAAATCTCCAAACAAATCTTTTCTAAAACCCTTTTCACTATATCAATACAACAAACAAATCTATCAAACCATACCAGTCAAAACCAAAACAAAACAATCAGATAATATCTTATCTAGACTTCTCTCCTCAAGAATGCAATGGAAAACGTCAGAAACCAACAAAAAATCAAAACCCCATCAAAGCAAGCATTCCAAATATATACAAGGAAGCAAGAAAATTAAAACCTAAATGGATATCTAGTATTCAGACTTTTGAAGAAAGTTCAAATTTTTCGTCGCCCAAAACTGGAGACCAATTCACAAACGTAAGCTTCCCCGTTACCGACCTTAAAACAACCAAAGAAGAGACAAAGAAAAAGAAAAGTAAAACGGCGGCTGCGGTCAACGAAACGCTAAGAAACATCTCGGCGATTGTTAATTGCTTAATACAAAAAAAAAAAGAAACACGTTTTCAATATCTAACGCTTAAAGTAAACAATTTCTGGAACTGGGGTCAAAGAGAAATTACCATACCTTGGATTGAAGCAGGGGAATTTGCAGGGTGGCAGAGCGTCAATGGAAGATCTGGTTATCTTTTTTTGCTTTTGAAATTTGAGATTAGAGTGATAATAATAATAATTAACAAGCCTTGGAATGGAAAGACAATCTTTTTATGGCCTCACGTGGAAGTTGCGCATTTTGAAAGTTATCTGCGTTCTTCCTCTACACTCAATGAGTCATGTCAATCCTCTGCCTGTCCCCGCTTCAATAGAAAACTCCCTTATCCACTCGTAGAAAATAAATTCCGAGGGTCGCATGGTAATATTTCCGTTTTCTATCATTTTTATATTTCAGTTTTTTTTTAAATTAAAAATAAAACTATATTTTATAGTTATTTTTATTTTTTATTTTTAAAAATTGAAAATAAAATTTTGAAAATTTTCGAAAATTATTAAAAATAAAAAATTGTGTTTTTAATTTTTTTAAAATAATTTGACACTATTATCATACTATCACTATTTACAAAAATTACAATTAAATTGTTACAGTGACGATATAATTATTATATTAATAAATAATATTTTTATTATATAAATATTATATTAAGAAATAATACATTAATAAATATTATTATATTTATTATATATAATATCATATTAATAAATAATATTTTAATAAATAATACTTTAATCTATCTTGGAGTGAAAAAAATGAAAAATTCAAAAATAATATTTTTGATGTGAGTGGCTGCCAAATGGGAATTGTTTAGACAGTGATTTTGGTTAAATCCTGGAATTTAGGACTTAAATTATGGAGAAGTTGAGATTGGATTTCTTAGATTTGAGTATGAATATATTGTTTAAATTTGGTAATCTAAATTACGAGATAATAATATAATATAATAAAAATACGAAAATGACATAATTTAAAACTTAAATAAAAATTATAAATAAATTTAATAAAATTAAAAATATATATTATATTTTTTTATTGATATAAAATATGATATATAATTTTTATATAAAATACGATATAAATATATAAATTATTAATATTTTATATAATATAAATATACAAATTATTAAATCTATTATTATTCAAAATCCTCTTTGATTTTCTTATCTAGAAATTACTTTTCCCTTCTCTACATTGGTCAAAGCTTATATATGGTCAATGAATTGAAAAAAAAAAAATATATATATAAGAAAATATCTCTTATTACACATTAAAATTTAAGTTTTTGAAATTTAATTTTATTAATTAGTTTGACTCGAAGAATGAAAAACATAACATTAATGATTAAGATTTAATGTCTAATAATTTTAAATAAAAAACAATAAATAAAAAATTTTGAATCATGTTGAAAAATAAAATAAAAAATCTTTTTCATCTATTGATTTAGTGGCTAAGGAGATTTTATAAAAATATAGAAGTCTTGGTTTCAAACCAATATCTCCTCTCTCTTTTTCTTTGGAAGGGTTATGCCTTCCTAAAAATAAAAAATGAAAAATAGAAAACAACATATGAAAGATTTTAGTTTATTAAAACAATTGAAATTGGAGATTTAAAAGTCAAAATTAATTCTATAAAAAAAAAAAAACCAGTTTGATCGCATCATTGAGTTAACTAGTCAAATGTAACTAAGTTGGCAACTTATAAAAGCCCATGGAATATTGGAGCATTGAAAGTTTTATGAGAATAAATGTTGGGTTAATTTAAATAAGTTTTTGTCATATATATTAACTATTTTGTGGCATGCTAAGTTTGTGCTCTTTGAAATGGAAATTGTTGAAAAAAATAACACAAGTCATACAAGAAGAAGACTCGAAGAAGCAACAATCCATGATATCAGCTCATATATCATTATCATATATGCAGATGCATTATATTTTTATAAGAATGGGTGTTGAAAGATTTATGATTCAAATTCGAAACTTTTTAATTTTATTATTAATTTCAATATTATTGAATTAACAATTTCATTAGTGCAATTCTTGATTGTTTATTCATGATTTTTCTGGAAGCATTAATCCATTTCTAATTAGCACCAAATTCTTGAAAACCGAATTAAAATTTTCTCCTGTTGAAAATAAAACTATCATTTTATTTTTTATATATTGATGCTTGGAATTTAAGAGTGAGCAAAAATTAGTTTGAACTAATTAGATTGACTGAAATTTAGTGAATTCGGTTAATTTAGTTCGATTTATTTGGTTTTGGTTACAATAGATTTTTTGGATCAGTTAAATTATTAACTTGGATAGTTTTCGATTCTTAAAATTGATAACCAAATTAATCAAATTAATCGACTTTTTTAATAAGTAAAAGTAAAAAAATTGAAATGACTATTTTTATTTTTTTTTCTTGTAAAATATTATTGAAATTATTAACCTTTTTAGTGATATAGTTTGAATGGTATTTGAATTTGAGTTTTATTAAATTGAATTTGTGATTAAATAATTATTCATAACAAAAAATAAATAAAAAATTCAATTATATAACCTAAGTAACTGAACCAAATTAATTTTGTTTAATTCAATTATCATCGATTATTTATAAATTTTCAATCGATTCAATTATTTATTAAATAAAAATCAATTAATTTGATTATTAATTTTTTTAAATTGAATCGACTAATTGTTTACCCCATTAAAATTTATCCAAACATGTGTAATAAATTTAAAAATTGATTAAAAATCCTTGTAAATCAATAACTAATTAATATATTTACCAAAAAGAAAGGTGAAAAAAATACAATAGGAATTCCTACAAGCTTTTCAATTATTTCAAGTTAACCTAAGTGAGTAAATAGTTAACAATGGTTTATGCCAAAGGGGTGTCACCATCAACTTTTTTCAGCAAAGTTTTAAAAGCATATGCTCCTTATTAATTATCAAGATAATGATAATAAAATATGATGAATAAGATCTTTAATATTCGGACAATAAGTAGATATTCTTACATCTAAATTGGACTAGGTCCACAAATTGAATAGATAACTTGATTCATGAATATACCTAAATAGAAAACAATATTGGGTGTACAAGATTGAAATACTCCAAAATTTTTATTTTTCTCTCTTGGTATATCTTCAAAGTTATCATTATTTAATTTCCTATTTGTTTATATAATTATAAAGTAAGGAGAGATTCTTTTGAACCAAAACAAATTGACATTAAAAAAAAAAGCAATGAAGTTATTTACTATAATTATTGTACAATTAAAATAAAAAAATGCAATATAAAATAGATTTTAAATTTTCAATCAATATGTTAATAATTATGTTATAATTTATCTAACTATAAATTTTCAACCATCTCTTCACATTGTTAGGCTACCAAGCTTGATACTTACCATAAATAATAGTAGTAAATAATTAATGTACTAAACTATGAAAAAAAAAGTAATAGTAGTAATACTTAAGGTTGTAAATTTGATGCATTTATGGATTTAAGATGGCCCTAAATAATAAATTAAGGAAATCACTAATCTTCCTAATTTAGTAAAAATTATATGAATAATTCATGAATTTTAATTAAAGTCATTAATTTTTCATAAATAATAAGTTTTTAACAAATATTTAGTACCTAAAATTATTTTCCAATTTAGAATAACTTATGACACAAATCCCTTTTCAATCATAAATTACTTTCAAAATAAGAAAATTTTCTTTGAATTTTTGTTTCAATAATTGATAAATGATATTTTAGTAAAAAAAAAATTTCAAACTCATTTTTTTAAATGAAAAATTAAAAATAAATTGTCATTAATTAAATCTAACAATTAACTAATCAATAATCTTTGTTTTTTTGGCCAAAATCAACAAAACTTGAGATTTTATGTTCACATCTCATCATGTGTGAATTTGCTATAACTTTATGGTAAATTTATTTAATTATTTACTTTTTTTTCTTAGTTAATTGTTTGATTTAATTAATTTATTTCTTTACTTTGATTATGATAGTAATTTTTTTTATATATGTAACTTAAAAAAAAGTTTTTAATTACAAACGTATTTTTCAATTACAAAATTAAAAAATAAAAAAGAAGCTGATCTGGCATCTTTGTCTTGTTCCATTTTCCAACTCCGATTACAACTTTTCACAAGAACTGGAGCCTCAGCCAAACATCCCACTCGCTCGTCTCTTCGTGAAAACCACGAATAAGTCCAAATTGACCGTTTTATTTCACTCTCTTCCCCGACGCGTTACATTACAATCTAACTCCCTCCGATAAAGACTTTCCTACCCCTCCTCAATCATTCCAACTCAAACGTCAAACGCTGACCTCACCTTGCACCACGTGTAATCATATTAATGGTTTAAAATTTTCCAACGAATCAACTAGGCCGCAGACAATCACTCGTAAGAATCGTAAAAAATCAACGGATCCTCTCTGTTTTTATTATCTTTCAATTCAATCCCGCGAAATCCAGCTAAGCTGGTAGCTGTCACTCTCATTTTATTACTCAAAAAATAAAAATTTTTGGTTTTTTAGGGTTTTAAATTTGGGATATTGGGATACCAAAATGAAGCAAAAGAACGAGCAAATTCACACTAGAAGGCTATTAACTTATCTTTTAATCGGGTTAATCGGGGTTCTTGGGTTGGTTTGTTTGTACTATGGATCTTCGTTTGCTCCCGGGTCGAGGAGATCCGACGATACTGGTTCTCGGTTGTATGGTTCGGATCGGGTTTTTGGTGGGATTTCAAGGAACCGGGATTTGTTTGATTTGCTTGACGAGCAAGGGCACTACCTGGAAGTTCCTAAAAGCATCCCTGTAAATATTGCATTTTTATTAGCTGAGTTTTTTTTATTTCTTTTTGGGTTTTTTTTTTTTAGCTCTATATTTCACTAAAGATTGCTTTTTTCTTCTGCTTTAAATGTGGGTTTTTGTTGATTTTCTATTTCTTTATAATTTTTTAGTTTCAAATGACATTGTGTTCTTAATTTTCTGGTTTTGGGTTTTGTTTATAATTTCAGATATGTGACATAAAATATTCAGAGTTGATACCCTGCTTAGATAGAAACCTTATATACCAGTTAAAATTAAAGCCGAATTTGGCAGTAATGGAACACTATGAGCGGCATTGTCCGCCACCAGAGCGGCGTTACAATTGCTTAATTCCGCCGCCAAAAAGTTACAAGGTTGGTGATGGTTCTTTAGTGGTTACGCTAAGAGTTTGGATTTGTTTAGTTTCAGTTAGTTTTGATTCCAACGAAATTGCTACTAGAATTTCAGATCCCTATAAGATGGCCTGCAAGTAGAGATGAAGTGTGGAAAGCAAATATACCCCATACGCATCTTGCTGAGGAGAAATCGGACCAGCATTGGATGGTTGTTGATGGAGAAAAAATAAAGTTTCCTGGCGGTGGAACCCATTTTCATTATGGTGCTGATAAGTATATCGTTGGTCTTGCTCAGGTATATCTTACTTGCTGGGTTAATGATCCTTTGGTTTTTTGCAAGAGCCAAGAATTGAATTAAGGTTATGCATTTGATACATATGATTATTTTGATTCTTGGAAAACAAACTATTGCTCATTGACTGAGCCAAATAATTGCAACATTTCCTTTATTCATAAAATTTATGTTATTGTTTAGCTTGATGTTGTATCGTTGTATTTGTGTAGATGCTAAAATTTCCTGGTGATAAACTGCACAATGGTGGAAATATTCGAAATGTTCTTGATGTGGGATGTGGAGTTGCAAGTTTTGGAGCCTATCTCCTACCCCTTGATATTATAGCTATGTCCCTTGCACCTAACGATGTACATGAGAATCAAATACAATTTGCATTAGAAAGGGGTATCCCTTCGACACTTGGTGTGTTGGGAACAAAAAGGCTTCCTTATCCAAGCAGATCATTTGAGCTAGCTCATTGTTCACGATGCCGAATTGACTGGCTTCAGAGAGATGGGATTCTCCTATTGGAACTTGATAGATTACTGAGACCAGGAGGGTACTTTGCATATTCTTCCCCTGAAGCCTATGAACAAGATCCAGAAAATAGAAAGATCTGGAATGCTATGTACAGCCTTTTGAAAAGAATGTGCTGGAGAGTTGTTGTGAAGAGAGGCCAAACTGTTATATGGGCAAAGCCTCTGAGCAATAGTTGTTACTTGAAGAGAGATCCTGGTACTCAACCTCCTTTGTGCAGTTCCAGCAATGACCCAGATGCAAGTTGGAACGTGTCTCTGAAGGCATGCATCACTCCATACTCTGCAAGTAAGTAGAACTACCATGTGTATGGTGATGGGATTCACAGTTGTGGATTGCTTTCTTCTACTGCAATCTATTTACTGGCTGATAGACATTTCGTATTGTTTGCCTGCATAAATTATCATATGCAATGTTGATGAGAAAATTTTCCCCAACAACATGATTCTTGTGATCTACTGTCTTTGAAAAATGGAAATAGGATGTGGACTGCTTAAGATTTAACTCAATTCTTGCTTGATTCTACAGAGATGCACAAAGAAAGATCAAGTGGACTACTTCCTTGGCCACAGAGGCTTACTGCAGCACCACTTCGCCTTGAAGAAATTGGTGTCAGTGCTGAGGAATTCAATGAAGATACTGTAAGTTTCTTAGATCACAGGAGAATTTCAAGTGGTGTAGTTATGTCGTGATTTCTTCATCATGATTCATTTATGACTTTACTCTCTATAGCCTTAGGTTTTGATGATTGAGATATTCTTATGATGCAGAACATATGGCATTTTAGAGTGATTGAGTATTGGAAGCAGATGAAATCTGTTATACAGAAGAATTCCATCAGAAATGTCATGGATATGAACTCAAACCTTGGGGGCTTTGCTGCTGCCCTTAAAGATAAAGATGTCTGGGTGATGAATGTTGCTCCCATCAAAATGTCTGCAAGATTGAAGATTATTTATGACCGAGGCTTGATTGGAACTGTTCATAACTGGTATGCATTGACATTTATCATTATTCAGATATGTCTATTCTTCTTCTTCAGCTTGATTTTGCAGAGCAGGCTTTAACCTTTGGTTTTGTAGGTGTGAAGCATTTTCAACATACCCGCGAACATATGATCTTCTTCATGCCTGGGCAGTTTTTTCAGAGATTGAGGACCATGGTTGTAGTGCAGAGGACCTACTGATCGAAATGGATAGGATACTTCGGCCAGAAGGGCTTGTTATTATAAGAGATAAACACTCGGTAATAAATTATATCCAGAAAGTTATCCCTGCCTTACGGTGGGATGGCTGGTTATCAGAATTTGAACCAAGGATCGATCCTCTCTCTGCTGGTGAGGAAAGAGTGTTAATTGCGAGAAAGAAGTTGTGGACTGATGGGTTTATAACAATGTGAATGTATTTTCTCAACCTATAATCTTGCCTTTGATTTGTGTTGGTCTACATAACGGTATTTGGTAAAAATGATAAACTTTCTCTTAACTTTTCTACTGAAAAAATGGGTTTTCTTTTCATTTTTAAACCATACAGTTGGAAAGTATATTGTCTTTCAAAATAAAAAATTTTAAAGAAATAAAAATCATTTTCAAAGAATTCTTTGTTAACAAAATTATTTTAAAAGAATAGTTGTTAAAAAATGATTTAATCATAAATTATGGAATTGTCAAGGATTTTTTTTTGTCTTATTTTGGACAAAGGGAGATTCAAATTCGACTGCTTGAACATGAAAATAAATATATTTTGAATTTAAAATTTAATTCAATTAATTCATATAAAAACATGTGATTTTATGATCTTTTTCATTTTTGTTATGAAAAAATATATTTATTTCGTATGTAAGTTTTCAAAAGTTTAATCAACCGATTCTTAAAGATTTTAAAATATAAAAAGTTCATTGCATTGTATAGCTATTAATTATCATATGAATCTGGATTCTTGAATGATTCATGTGACAATCATTTTTTATAAAATAAAAATGATAACTTTTTACGCAAAATTGCGGTCTCAAAGCTAAACACTGATGGCAGTTGGGATCCAACTGGAAATATCGCTGCTTGTGGATGCTTTATTCGGGATTATAATGGTAATTGGATTTCTGGATTCAATTGCCAGCTTGGAGATTGCAGCATTGATTTTGCTGAATGTGGGGCGTTTGCTGCGGAATTAGTCATGCTAGACAGAGCAGGATTGATTGTTTTGAGATTGAATCTCACTCCATGAATTCAATTTTGGCTATAAAAAACGGTGTGGCCCTGTATCACCTATTACTTTATCCGGGATTCTATTGGTAATTGGATTTCTGGATTCAATTGCCGGCCCGGAGATTTGTAGCATTGATTTATCTGTACGTGGGGCATTTACCACGAAATTAATCATGTTTGACAACAAATTTGGTTATTTATATATTTATATTGTGTAAAATATTAAAATTTATATATTTTTATCGTATTTTATATAAAATTTATGTCATAATTTATGTCAATATGAAAACATGAAATAAAATTTTTTGATTTATTAAACTCATATATAATTATTATTAAAATTTTAAATCAGATTATCGTTTTATTTTTTATTTGAATTGTATTTGTTTTATATTATTCTATCGTATTTTAAATTGTTAAATTTATTTGATAGAGTGGATTGATTTTGTTAAGATTGAATTTGACAATGAATTTAATTTTGATTATATTATTTCATATTATATCATCGTATCATATTTTAAATTACTTAATAATTCGTGTATTACTTACAAAGTTTGAGGTTTACTACTATTATCTGATACAGAGGTTTGTGTTTGAATTGGAGATGATGAGGATGTATCATCTGATACTGTTAAGCATGTATCTACTCACTAAAAATTTTCAACTAACAATGCCAAAAAAATTTTCAACTAACTCTTATATTTTTCATGCATTGGACAGTTGAATTTCTTATACCAATTACCAAGAGATTCGTAAGGTTTTATGTCATAATTTTAGGCCATAATATAATGTTAGGAGGTTGTTTGTATGCAACACGTGATTTTAAATAATATAATTTGAAGTTTGAACTTGTAAAGTAGTTTGTCCCCATTGTTGGTTAAGTGATAATGACAAAATTTGAAAGTGGTCACATTTTTTTAATAGGAATTTAACAAGTAATTAATTTGTCTATATATTCTGCAAAGTAATCCATTGAATGTTCATGACTAATTCTCAGTTTTGGTGCAATGGAGAATGTGAAAGTCTTTATTATTGTTGTTTTTTCAGTTTTGGTGTTTGTTTTGGGTGTGGAAAGAGTGGAGGTGAAGGAGTTCCCACCCTGCAATTTTAGAGCAGTTTATAACTTTGGTGACTCTAATTCTGATACTGGTGGTGGATCAGCTGCATTTTGGATAGCAGGGCCTCCAACTGGTGAGACTTTCTTCGGTAGGCCGGTTGGAAGGGGCTCTGACGGGCGTCTGATAATAGATTTCATCGGTAACAACCATGTTCACTGGCTCTCTTTGCATTTTGCAACAAGCAAAATGCATGGTTTTTCCTTGTTCAGATCATTTATTTGAGGGTTTTTTTTTTTGTTTAATGTATGCAGCTGAGCACCTTGGGTTGCCTTACTTGAGTCCATACCTGGATTCCATTGGAACAAGTTTTCGGCATGGTGCTAATTTTGCCATTGGGGGATCAACCATTAGGCCACAAAATGAATCAATGTCTTTAAATGGAGTACCCCCATTCTCACTTGACGTCCAGGTTGTACAATATGATAATTTCAAGGGTCGCACCAGCTATTTCTACAGTCAAGGTTATCCCAAGAATTGCATTAACATCAGTTTTCTTTTCAGATTTTGTTCTTCTATACTCAGGAAATTATGTCTTTTTTTGTCTATGGTTTTCAGCCAAGAGGAAATCCGACCGCACAAAGCTCCCCAGACCTCAGGATTTCTCCAAGGCTCTTTATATATTTGATATTGGCCAAAATGACATTGCTGCTGGTTTGAGGAAGAAGAATGACACAGATTTTTATGCATCAGTTCCTGACATAGTTGATCAGCTAGCTAAAGCAGTCCAAGTAAGTTTGAATTGATTCTATGTAGTTTTTTTCTGAACTAAAAAGATTAGAACTCTAATCAAAATGAATGGTGTCTAATCAACAGAATCTCTATGAACATGGGGCAAGGGCATTTTGGATGCATAATACTGGCCCAATTGGTTGCTTACCTGTGAGTCTGCACTATCATGATATTAAGCCTGAGGAACTTGATAAGCAGGGCTGTCTCAAAGCTCAAAATGACTATTCTATGGAGTTCAATAGGAAGCTTAAGGATAGAGTAATCAAACTTAGGGCAGAACTTCCGCATGCGGCGGTTACTTATGTGGATATTTACGCTGCAAAGTATGAACTGATTGGCAATGCAAAAAAGCAAGGTAAATTGTATGAAGAATCTCTTCCTGGTTGTTAGGTGTAGATACTATCATATATAAATTATTTTTGAAAAGAAGTCTATCGTTTTGGTCTCTTGCTATATCTATGTTATTTTTACAAGAGAAATCAATCGTTGTGACCTTTTGCACCACTTCTATCATTCTCATACAGTATTTTTTTTACTATAGAAGTCGATCCTTGTGGTTTTATGCACCACTTCCATCACTCTCGTAAACAAGTCTTCCAACAGAAAAGTTGATTGTTGTGGTATCATACACAATTTCTATCATTTTCATATACAAGTTTTTTTAAGAGAGAAATCAATAATTGTGGTCTCATGTGTCACTTCCGTTATTTTCATAGATATGTATTCTAACATAGAAATCGATTGTTGTGGTCTCATGCACTACTTCTTTCACTCTTATATACAAGTCTTTCAATAGAAAAGATGATTGTTGTGGTTTCATACACCACTTATGTCATTGTCATATACAAGTTTTATTAAGAGAAAAATTAATCGTTATGATCTCATGTGTCACTTTCATTATTTTCATATATATATATATGTATTTTAATAGAGAAGTCGATTGTTGTGATCTCATGCACTACTTTTGTCACTCTCATATACAAATCTTCGAATAAAAAGGTCGATCATTGTGGTCTCATGCACTATTTCTATGCATTATTTCCATCACTCTCATATACAATTTCTTCCAATAGAGAAGTTGACCGTTGTGGTTTCATTCACTACTTCTATCATTCTTGTATAAAAGTCTTCCAATAGAGAAGTTGATTGTTGTGGCTTTATGCACTACTTCTGTCACTCTCATATACAAGCTTTTCCCAAAGAAAAGTCAATCATTGTTGTCCTATTTTTTAAAAAAACAATATCATTGCTTATTCTCCTATTTTAAAGGGAAACACTCGCATTACTTGTTTTTCTATTTCTTTTAATAATTTCTCTATTTTTAGAGAAATACTCTTTTACTTTTTTTTAATAATTTATCTATTTTTTAGGAAAACATTTCTATCACCTATTCATTTTAATAATTTTTCTATTTTTTACAAAAACATTTTCATCACTTATTTCTTTTAATATATTTTTTTTATTTTTTAAGGAAACATTCCCATTATTTATTCCTTTCAACTATTCTTTTATTTGTTAGGGAAATATTCTTACTACTTAGTCTCATATGTTTTAGGAAAATATTACCAGTACTTATTCCCATATTTGTTAGGAGAATATTATCATTACTTATTCTCTTTTTTTTTTTTTTTTTAGGGAAACACTCCAAAAGTTATTACTTTTGATAATTATTCTATTTTTTTTGAGAAACACTTTCAATAGTTGTTCCTTTTGATTTTTTTTTTATTTTTTAGGGAAACACTTTCATTAGTTGTATTTTTTTATGTATCTTTTATTTAAAAAAAAAACACTCTCATTACTTTTTTTTATATATATAATTATGTTGTTTTAGGAAAACATTTTCATCAATTATTTTTTTAATAATTTTTTTTTTTAGGAAATACACATGTTTAACACACTGCTTTTTTATTTATAACATTAAAATTTACTTATTCTACATATGGAATATTCTTTATTTTGTATCAAACAATTTTCGTACAGGGACAATGAATTTGCACATATGCTATCACAAAAAATATATATAATTTTTTTTTTCATGAAGCTTATATTATTCATTTTTTAAATTATAAGAATAAATATATTTTATTTTCATATATTTTTTAAATTTTACTTTTTAATTGTACTAATGCATGAAACTTTATATGCTAAGTATTTTTATGCAAATGGCAAAATATAAATATTTGATATTGATTATTAATATTTTATTATTATAAATTTTTTTAAAATTGTTAAAATTAATGATAAATCAAAACATGTGAAAAAGTTATTTCAACGAAAGTTATTTTATGAAATAGTAATTCATAAAACAACTCTTTCATAGAATAGTTATTCACGAAGCAATTATTCAAGAACTAACTTTTTCATAAAACAATTATTCAATGAATAATTCTTTCATGGAACATTTATACGAAACAACTATTCTCAGAACAACTTCTTTAAGAAACAATATCAATATTTTTATAAAAAATTCTTTTACCAAAAGTTGCTTTACTAAAAATTATTTTATAAAAGACACTTTATCGAATGATACTTCACTAAATAAAAAAGTGAAAATAAACCTAAAATATGACAGAGTTTTTAGGTTAATTACACTATTAGTATATTTCAGAGAGTTTGATTGGTTTGATAAATCAGATATAAAGATAGTTAAAAGAATTTCTCTTTACTTTTCTTTTAAGTACGAGTGTTTCTCCTTTTTTTTTTAGAACATATGGTCACAATCCTTGTTACCAAAAACTAATTAAACTCCTATTAATTAATACATTAACATATTTTATAACGGCTAATTCTCTTATTATCCACTATTATTCTTATTTATTACTCAAGATATGTAACTTCTATTCTTGAAATCTATAAATAAGAATTTTCACAATTTATGAGAAACTTTTGGACTTTAGCAGATTTCTTTTTCCTTAAAACTCTCTTTGCAATCCTCTCTTCCTAAATCCTTCTTTCAGCCTGACTCTCTTCTCAACCCAGCTTTATTTTACTACCTACCATTACCTGCCACTACACTCGATACTTTAGAGTCTGCTCCAGTCTTCCTCTTCACCATCTCCTCACATATCTCATTTTACTTGTTTGCAATACTTCCCCACCTAATCAAAAAATCCCTCTACATTAGGTGATTATGAATAGTTCAATGGCTATTAAGTTGGACCATTTACTAATGTTTGAAAATGCTATTTTTCTTTTGGTTGTTAGGATTCCTTGATGCTGCAGATATTTGCTGCGGATTTCATGAAGATGACATTCAAGTGTATTGTGGCCACAAACAAAACATAAATGGTACTGAAATCTATGCCGGTTCTTGTGAAAATCCTTCCAACTATATCAGCTGGGATGGTGTCCACTACAGTGAGGCTGCCAATCGTTGGATTGCTAATCATATAATCAATGGTTCATTTAGCGATCCACCTCTGCCAATTACACAAGCATGCCATAAAGCCTATTCTTGAGTAATTACTCCGACAGATGTGTTCATCATACAAGAAATTAATTTGAGGACTGATTTTCAAGGTCATCTCTAGTTTTTCTCCTACTAAGAAATTTAATTAGTATAATGTTATTTGGTTTTCATTTTTCTGTTAAGGAGTTTGTTTGGAGATTTGTACTTGCTTCAATTCACATCCTAACTTAAAACAAACCGAATATGAAAAAAAACCAATCCGATCCGAACCAAGAACATGTTTAAACACACAGTTATAGACATATCTCATTGCCGGTATCCTTCAGGCAAGGGAAGCACCTTGTGAAAGGGTACAGTCCTCTGAGGCAAGGCTCCGTCTTCCTCATCATCATCGAATTCCAGTAAATAACTAAACAAGAAAAAAAAATGGCCGTGCATTTCAGTATGACACATAACAGCTAAGTATTAATTATTATTATTATTAATAACAAGCCAAACAGCCAGTTCTTCCAAAATCTGCTATACTAGGGCCAGAATGGAGGATGTTACTTACTCATCTGATTTCCTCTGGAAGAATGGTTGATAGCACCCACAGATATCCACAAGAAAATTAGTTAGTAGTCAGTTCAACATATCAGAAGACAACACTAATGTTTTAGCAAATCTATGAAAGAATAAAAGCCATGGCAGATGATGCAAAATTATATGTTGGATACCTTTCGAGGAGTACTAATGACAGTTGCCTTATAGAGTGCAGTTGTTCCTGGATAGACGGCCAAAACATGTCTTCCAGCGGGGAATTCTTGAGTACTGGAAGGATCATTCCACTTGGGGAAAGGCATAATGCAAGATGCAGGTAGCTTGTACTTCCTGAAGTTGCAAAAACAAAAATTAACATCATCCATGGACTGATTTCATAAAAGAATTTGATCCCTCAAAATATTTGTAATTTTCAAGTGTTCTAAAAAATTATAGTTGAAGCATGCATCCATTACAAATAATTGAGCCACCAATTTCTTTTTTTTTTTTAAATAAAAAAGGATGAGAAAAAGCCACCTATTGATCTCAAATTCCAGTCTCAATCTATCAAAACAAATAAGACATCACAGAGTCCCTTGTACCAGTCAATAATGTGCATGAACAACCATAATATAAAGCAATTACTTCAATGTAACTCAACGAATAAAGAACCAAAGCACAAAATCCTACCTTTGGTCACTGCTATCTTCGTCATCACCTGGTTCCTCATCAAGTACTTCAAATCTGCATATCGAGATGCAACTTAAAAACAAGAACAAAGAAGATTTTGAATGGAATTTTGACACAAGCCAAAATGAAATGTCTTACAGGAGCTACACTTACTCTTTTGTTTTCTCATCAAAATTGATCATTTTTACAACAAACCACTCATCCCTCTCACCATCCGGGGTGACTTTTGCAGCTACCTGAGTACACGAGCACATTTCAATCTCCTTAGTTTGGAAGTATAAGAAACATTACAATTTGTTATGTACTATGGAGAATAAGAGTTGAGAACAAACACAACAAAATAGGTTAGTTGTAAGAACACATATCAACAATCGATTGCGATAGAGTTACATGCACGACTTTGGTTTTTCTGTTTGCTACATAGTCTACAAGCTTACCTGTTCACCTTTGAGACTAACACAAGCCTCAATATGACTCTGTGTAGAAGGATAAAGGCGAGAGGTATCTGAATCAGACTTGGTTCTTTTCCTTTTCTGATCATTACCATCTGCAATTTGTTTAGTGTCAGTTAAAAAGTTGGAAGTTCAGATACTCTGTTACCAGTATCAGAAATCTACACATGGAAATGAGTTCTGTTTTGGCATATGCTATCTATTCAATTTCAACTAATTGCTGAGTCTTGATCTGATTTTAATAGTCATGAATTCATGATATAATTAGGAATCCATGGTCGTATCAACTCAACAACTTGTATGTCATCTGCCAAGCGATTCTATGTTTCATAAAGCTACTCACAATTCCCACTTTTATAAAGGCAAAGAGAGACAGAATAAGATGAAGAAAATCAAAGTGCAGAAAATTACAGCCATATCTTAATGTCCTCTTTGATCATTATATAATTAAAGCTAACACTTCCGCAGTTAAAGCATGAGTTAGAAAACAAAATAAAACATGCAGGAAAACTGAGAGAATTGGAAGAATATGAAGGAAGCTTACAATCTTTTTGAGAGGCTCCTCTTTTACGCTTGGAAGACTTTTCTGAAGGCTGTGAAGACCCAACTTTTGATTTTGAAGAGGTTCCTTTTGATCGGGTTCTCATCTTCTATCCCAAAAATTTCTCTAGTTTTACAGAATCAGAGAAAACAAACAAGTCCCAAGAAAAACTTTATATCAGAAAAACCATAAACAAAAGAACTCAAAATTTTTTAACGTAGTATTTGGTCATGAATGATAATTTTAATATTTTAAAGTTGTGTTTGCTAAGGAATGATAAAATTTCTAAGAACTTTTCTGCTCAAAAAATGAGTTTCTTTTTTGTTTTTTAAACCATACTGTTGGAAAGTTGTTATCTTTCAAAAATAAAAAATTAAAAGAAATAAAAATAATTTTCAAAGACTTTTTTAGTCATGGACATTTTTCAATCAAATAGCTTTTAACAGTTGTTAGTAAAATTATTTTAAAAGCATAGTTGTTATAAAGTAGTCATAGGTTTTGAAGTTTTCAAAGATTCTTTTTTTTTGTTTTATTTAGGACAAAGAACGTTTCAAACTCGATTCCTTACACATGAAGTTTTTTTCTTTTTTTTACATTTATTTTAAACTCGGGTTTAACTTATTTTATTCATGCATGTTTTGAACACTCTAAAACAATTATACTAAATAACTAATGGATATTATTTACAAAGTTGAGATTTATTGTTGTCATATGAAGGTTTGAGTTAGAGTTTGAATTGAAAGAGATCATCTGATATTGTTTAAGCATACATCTACTCACTAATCACCTCAACTAACTCTTATATTTTGTTAAACAGTTAATTTCTTGTACTAATTAGCAAGCGATTTGCAAGGTTTTGCGCCATAATTTTAGGCCATAATATAATCTTAGCAGATTGTTTGAATGCAACACTTGGTTTTAAAAAGTTAATAAGCAAATGATTTGTCTATATTTCTGCAATCTAATCCTTTATAAGAGTTAAATTCTCAGTTCTGGTGCAATGGAGAAGGTAAAAGTCTCTACTATTGTTGTTGTTTTTTCAATTTTGTCGTAAGTTTTGGGTGTGGAACGTGTGGGGTGAACTGGTGAAGGAATTTCCACTCTGCAATTTTAGAGCAGTTTATAAAACTGGTGATTTTAATTTTGATAACTGGTGGTGGATCAGCTGCATTTTCCAGCGTCTGATAATAGATTTCATGGTAACAAACATGTTCACTCGCTCTCTTTGCATTCAACAAGAAGTAAAATGTATGGTTTTTCCTGGTTCAGATAATTTATTTGAGGTTTCTTATGTATGCAGCTGAGCACCTTGGATCGCCTTACTTGAGTCCATACCTGAATTCCATTGAGACGAGTTTTCTGCATGGTGCTAATCATTAGGCCACAAAATGAATCAATATCTTTAACTGGAGTGAGTCGAGTCTCACTTGACATCCAGATTCTAAAATATGATCAAATTCAAAGGCTCGCACCAGCTATTTCTACAATCAAACCAGTTTTCTTTTCAGATTTTATTCTCCTAGGCTCAGGAAATTATATCTTTTTGGTCTATGGTTTTCAGTCAAGAGGACTTTTCCAAGGCTGTTTACGTATCTTATACTGGCCAAAATGACGTCTGCTGGTTTGAGGAAGGAGAAGAATGACACAGATTTTCAAGCATCAGTTCCTGACATAGTTGATCAGCTAGCTAAAGCAGTCCAACTAAGCTTGATTTGATTCTATATAGTTTTTCTGAATTAAAAACATTAGAACTCTAATCAAAATCAATGGTGTCTAATTAACAGAATCTCTATGAACATGGGACAAGGAAATTTTGGTTCCATAATAATACCGGCCCGATTGATTGCTTGCCTGTGAGTCTGCACTATGATATTAAGCCTGAGGAGCCTGACAAACAGAGCTGTCTCGGAGCTCAAACTGACCATTTTATCGAGTCTAATAGGAAGCTTTAGGATAGAGTAAACCTGAGAGGTGACTGATTTTCAAGGTCAGCTTTGACAACTTTTTCCTCTTTCCTTTAAAGCTAACATATTGCAAAACTGATAAATGAAGTTCTGCAGATCATTGCACATATATTTGATCCTTTTCCTAGTTGGAAACTAGGTCTATCAGGCTTACAAACATGATCATAACACGACGCCGCAGTTGCATAATAGAATTTTAAACAAATTTATTATAATTTTTTCTCCCATAAGCTGCATGTGATCTATGTAATATATGCCAATGAAGCTGGAATTATGCAATGAAAATTGGGTCTTCAGATTCCCAACAAAGCCATGTTACCTTGTTTCTCTTTTAAAGTTCACAAGATTCATGCATGCTACTGTTACATTGATAAGCTTCGCATCAGATATCAAACGAAGCATGAAAGAATATTGGGTTACATAATGAGGTAATCCTCTCTTATCCATAAATGACATCCCATCCATCCGAAGATTCAAACTCGAAACTTTCAAAGATAAAGTATTATCTTTATCTTTACGGGTAATGAAGAAGAACCATGTAACTTAAAGTAACAGAAAGGATATTGGTGTCAAACTTCTATTGCTAAGCCAGTACACAGGGCTCGTGAAAATTAGGGTTCTGATTCACATGTTTAAAAACCAGCTCTAAGTTTATAGATCTAAACTATTATACACGTTTATACACATATCTCATTGCCGGTGTCCTACCGGCAAGGGAACCACCTTGTGATAGGGTACTGCCCTTTGAGGCAAGGCTCCATCTTCCTCATCATCATCGAATTCAAGTAAATATCTAAACAAGAAGAAAAAAAAAAAGAAAAGGTCGTGCATTTCAGTATGACGCATAACAGTTTAAGAGGAAGATTAACAAAATGAGGAAGAATGTAAACAGGCCAAACAGCCAGTTCTTCCAAAATCTGCTATACTATTTATTAGTAGGGCCAGAATGGAGGATGTTACTTACTCATTTGATTTCCTCTGGAAAGATTCAGAATGGTTGATAGCCCCCAAAGATATGCAGAAGAAGATTAGTAGTCAGTTTAACATATCCGAAAATAACAATAATATTTTAGCAAATCTATGAAAGAATAAAAACCATAGCAAATGATGCAAAATTATTTGTTGGATACCCTTCGAGGAGTACTAATGACAGTTGCCTTATAGAGTGCAGTTGTTCCTGGATAAACGGCCAAAACATGTCTTCCAGTGGGGAATTCTTGAGTACTAGAAGCATCATTCCGCTTGGGGAAAGGTATAATGCAAGATGCAGGCAGCTTGTACTTCCTTAAGTTGCAAAAACAAAAATCAACATCTTCCATAGACTGATTTCATTTATTTAAAAATTGACAAGAAGAAAATTTTACCCATCAACCACCAAGGCACAGTAATTCTTAAGAGTTTCTAAAGAATTTAAGCCCGCAAGATATTCGTAATTTTCAAGTGTTCTAAAAAATTACAGTTAAAGCATGCATCCATTGCAAATAATTGAACCACCAATTTCATATTTTTTTTAAATAAAAAAGGATGAGAAAAAGCCACCCAATCTAGTACTGTACAAGTAAAGAATTTATTGATTTCAAATTCCAGTCTCAATCTATCAAAACAAATGAAACATGATAGAGTCCCTTGTACCAGTCAATAATGTGCATGAACAACCATAATATAGAACAATTACTTCAATGTAACTCAATTTATAAAGAACCTAATCGTAAAAGCTTACCTTTGGCCACTGCCCTCTTCATCATCACCTGGTTCCTCATCAAGTACTTCAAATCTGCACATCAAGATGCAACTTAAAAACAAGAAGAAAGAAAATTTTGAATGGATTTTTGACACAAGCCAAAATGAAATGTCCTAAAGGAACTACACTTACTCTTTTGTTTTCTCATCAAAATTTATCACTTTTACAACAAACCACACATCCTTCTCAGCATCTGAGATGACTCTTGCAGCTACCTGAGTACACAAGCACATTTCAATCTCCTTAGTTTGGAAGTATAAGGAACAGTACAAATTGATATGTATCATGGAGAATCAGAGTTGAGAACAAACATGGTAAATTAGGTCTAAGAATAAATATCAACAGTTGGTTGCGATAGAGCTACATGCACATCTTTGGTTTTTCTGTTTGTTACATAGTCTACAAGCTTACCTGCTCATCTTTGAGACTAATACAAGTCTCAATATAACTCCGCATAGAAGGAGAAAGACGAGAGATATCTGAATCAGACTTCATTCTTCTCCTTTTTTGATCATTACCATCTGCAATTTGTTTAATGTCAGCAACATAAATTTGAAGCTCAGATACTCTCGTACTAGTATCAAAACTCTACACATGGAAATGAGTTTTCAGTTTTGGCATATGTCATCTATTCAATGTTCAAGCTTTGGAAGAACAGAAAGATCATAAACACCTAATAATTTCAACTAACTGCCGAGTCTTGATCTGATTTTAATTATCATGATATAATTTGGAATCCATGGTCATACCAACTCAATAACTTTTATGTCATCGGCCAAGCAATTCCATGTTTCATAAAATTACTCACAATTCACACTTTTAGAAAGGGAAAGAGAGGCAAGATAAGATGAAGAAAATCAAATTGCAGAAAATTACAGCTTTATCTTAATGTCCTCTTTGATTATTACATAATTAAAGCTAACACTTCAATAGTTAAAGGATAAATCAAATGCAAAGGTGGCCAAGAGATGACCTTAACTTTTTGCTTTATAAGAAAGCAAGTGTTAAAATTCCTAAATATCTTTCACACAAAGGGAAAACTGGGAATAGAGGTTAAAGCAAATGAAATGTCTCATATTGAACATACCCATCTTTCTTCGTTGTTGACCTGGAGGTCCAGATGGCAGGAAAGCGTCAAGTTGACTTAGTAACAAGTTGGAAATCCTGTATCAATGTCAAAACAGAGCGTCAGTAAAAAAAAAAAAAAAAAGGAATACAGTACTGAGAATTGTAAAAGGCCTACAGAACCAAACCAGAAAGTTCATTGCTACACTAGGCCCAAAAATTTATACAGAAAAAGTTGACACATTTAAACAAGCCCCAGATTCACTAGAAAATGAGAGAGGGAGAGAGAGGGACAAAGAAAATGGTAGAAGACTTCATTAGAGATAACAGTCATACGTTACTTCTCTCTCCGAAAGATCTTTAGCTTCAATATATAAACTTTTTAGCCTTGATAATGAAGAATCACCAGGTTTCTCAACTACCTCAGGAGCTGCATTGATAAACAGAAGTTCAAGATTGGTATAAAGTATAAACTATCAGTGACAGTTAACAAAGAACAAGGCCAAATAAAGTAACAGAAGAAAGAAAAGCTATTCTCATATCTTAAAGAATACAATTTAATCATCTGTGTTTTTCAGCAAGTTTTCTATCAGTAAAGATGTAGTAAATTACTTGATGCTAGACAATAATCCAAAAATTGATTAGATAAATTATTGTCAAAACATGGAAATCCTCAAGGAATTTTCCAGAAGCAACATTCATAGAAGAAGAACCAAGAATTCTTGTAAATCTTTCGTTCAAGTCTGAAACTCATTATAACAGTGGGTTGGAGCAAAAAAAAAAAAAATGGGATCTAGGATGCACAACAAGCCTCTGATTTGAAATAACATGACAAAGCCACAAATTCCACCAGGTTGCATGATCTTATAATACATCCGATAGTTTCTAAATATATAGTTTTTACACGATAATGACCATATGGATCTCAAAATTCCTTCTATGATACTTCTTCGATACTCCTGGTTTTCGATTCTATGCACATCCAAGAAACTGCTAATCAAACTTAAACCCTATTGAATTGACAACAAAATATTTCGTTTACCCTCTTGTTCCAATTTCATACGGTTGTTTATTTGTAGAATATTCTGATTTCTGACATCTTTCATGCAAAAAAATTCAGGATCAAGGTTACTATATGATAATACTGAAATTCTGAACTAAAGCAACTAAATGGATATTGTGAGGATCACCAGTTAAAAGGTAATTATACAAGAAGCATTGAAAAAAATTCTACATCCAAAATTAACCATTCTCAATATGGATTTCCAAGCATGTAATGAGCTGAACATGCAATGTGCCAAACCACATAATTTCCTTCTCCATGAAACTTAGGCCCCATAAGCAGCCCTTTCAGCTAAATGGCATATTTTGTGATTCTAAAGGCAAAACCTTTACACCAAGATTACCCGAAACAGATACTAGCTTTGAACATCAATTTAGATCCTAAAATCTTCTAAACTCCAATTAGAGAACTTATCTTCTTTCTCAAACACAAATGCAGCTAAGTTTAAAAGAAAGTCAATAGTCAAACTGACCATAAAACTCTCTTCCTTTGATCAAATTACTCTAATTCTCTTTTCCTCTAAAAACCAAAAAATATTCACAAATTAAAACAATCAGCAATAATGGATAACAAAAGTAACTTCCCTATCCAATAAAATCCATCATCAACAAAAATTAAGCTCTTTTAAACCAAACCCAGCTTAAAAAAGCACTTTTTGAATAAAAAAATAAAAACCCAGAGAACAAAAAAAAAAAACAACACTGAAAAGCATTGGAAAAAAAAAAGCACCATATTTTGATAATCTAAAACAGACCCATTAATCTTATGGACCATATAAATCAACCCAGATCATAAATTTTGAAACTAAAGGGAAAAAGTCGAGAAATTTACTAGCTTGAAGCTTCTTGTGAAGCTTGTTGATATCGAAAAGCACCTCTTCTTGTTCTTTCCTTAACCGGTCGAGTTCCCTTGAGTTTTCCGAGATTGAAGCAATGTCCGGTAACGACATCGTTTCTTATTACCTATCTTCGTCGGAAATACAATGTTATCAATGTTATCTGTTTTACTTTTACCAGATTACTTCCAGCTAGATTTTTCACTTCAATCAATCCTTTGTTTGATCAAAAGTTTTCTTTTTTGTTTTTTTTCCCTTCAAACATTTCAATTAAATATTAATACTTAATAAAAAATAAACCTTGGTGGGCTTTTTCAAATTCTTTTACCTGACAAAAGGAAAATAATAAAAATCAAGCCTATAATTAAAAAAAAAAAAAATCAGTGGATAATTTTGATTTTTGAATTTTATTTACTTTGGGCCTCAATTGAAATTAAGTTTAGACTTAAATGGGAAAACTTATGGCCCAAATAGAAATTATAAGTGTTATGTTGATCACTTAATTGAAATTGTTGATCTTGTTTAAATTGGGCTGATTGGGATTTGCCCCACTTCCTCAACTCATTTCTGCTTTTGGATTTTGCTTGGACAAGAGAAAAAAATAATAAAAAATAGATCAAATTATCAAAGTTTTTTATGAGTTATAACAAATTTGATGAAACAATGCCTAAATTTATAAAAATAAAAGTTTAAAAAGCAAAAAAATTGATAAAAGTATCAATTAAATGAATTTTTATCCATATCCAAAAAAATTTTGTGCTTATGGGTTTTTTATTTCTGCCTTAAATCAAACTTAAAAATTCAAAAATTCAATCATAAAATAAATCTTTGAATGCAATGAAAATAATGTAATCAAAACTTTTAAATAGAGTTTTAATAGTAAAGACTTCTAAAATCACATTTGAGAGCTAATGATAATTATAGAAAGATAATAAAAATATTTGTCAAAGATAGGTATAATAAGAAGTTACCTTTACCTTAATGATTTCCTTATCCTACATATTTACACTATCATCAATCTTAAAAACAGAAGATTTTTACCATGTCAAATGTCAAACACATTAAAAGGAATCAAATTTATGTCAAATATCCTCCTTTCCATATTTATTTCTTGTTGCTATCTATTTATTAACAATAATGCCACAAGTTTCCTAAAATGACACCTCCCCTAAGAAAATTTCAAATTTAAAAACTTTTAAGAAATCAAAACCATGCAAGTTTTTAGGTAGTGGATATTAAGGGTGATAACAATCCGATTCAATTTAATTTTTTTTAGATAATATATAATATTATAAATTTTTTAAATCTAATTCCAATCCTATCGATTTTTTTTTAAATCGATCCAATCTGAATTGAATTTTATTAATTTGGTTTGATTTATTAGTTTTTAAAATTTAAAATTTATATTTTTTATATATTATTTTAATAAAATTTTTAATATATTTAAATAAATTTATATATAAAATAATTATTTTATAAAAATTTAAAATATATAAAAATTAATAAAAATATATAATTCGATGTATTATTTTTTATTTTTTATATCTCAATTCAAAATTCAATTCAAATTTAATATATATATATATATATATATTTAATATCTAAATTTAATTCAAACTAAATAAAAAAATCAATATAAATCAGACTGACATTGAATTTTGATTTTTAAAATTTTTTTCTCTAGAGGTTACAAAGGTTCTTAAGCCTTCAGTTCCTTCCGATCATGAACAAGCTAACATAAAAATGGTGTCCCACATAACAAAATATGGATTCCATATAGCAAACTCAAGCTCAATGAGTTACACTGGCCTTTAAATACATGGCATCAATCAGGGTTCCCACTTGTAAACCATGGATTAGATTTCAACTTTGCAATTTCAATCAAGCAAATCAAGTGGCAATAGTGTCCTTAACAGATTCTAACTGTAAAAACTCTGAAAAAGTCCTAGTGTTATTATACTAACAAGAATTACCTCAAGAAAGAGAAACAATGAAAAATGGAATTCTTTTCCATCAATAATGTGACCAGAATTTATTGAGAGAATAGGTATAACTTGACATGATTTCAAAAACGAAATCTTTTAAAACGAAGCTACAAAACCTGGGACCCGTTGTCTTGTCTTCCAAGATTCAAAATTTTCACTGATCTCAACCTTCCAAAGAAAACCCAGGCTGAGAATTCTCGTTTTGGTTCCAAGTATGCTGTTTTTCCAATTATATTATGTCATTTCTCTTTGAAAGGAAGGGGCATTTTGTGTTTTTTTTAGTGTGTAATTCAATGGTTGAACTTGAATTTCTACTTTGGTCGTTTTGTTTCCAAGGTTTCATCTTTTTTATTGCAAAAATAACTGCGATCAACGCTAGCTTAAACTGTTGTTATGAATTGGAGCTAAGCTGTTTTTTCAATTCCAAGACGAGACTTTGTTTTTAATGGTAAATGTGTTGATGGGAAAGTTTATAGGTCGGGGTGTGATGTTAATGGACAATTTTGGTACATTTTTTAGGTGAAGTATATCAGAGCATTGTTTCTCCATAAATGCTTTTAGCCGCTTCATATAGTCCTCGTCACTTTCTCCAGCATTTTGTTCCATTTCTGCAGGCACAACTCTTAGGGCGACTGTAAACATCTACAATGTTCCCTCTAACATACAATTCCAAACTCTTCACAAGATTAACAAACTGAGCATCAAATATTGATGCCAGGATTGGATGAACCTCATTCTTCTGATCTGATAAAACACTCTCATCACCATCTTCAATCTCTGCCATACTAGCAGCAGTGGATCTTGTCAATGGTTTATGGGACTGAGCTGGCTTCACTGAAGAGAAAAGGAAGCTTCTCTGCATCTCATCAAACTTCAGAAAGTATGATGTAAGCCCAATTTTCTGGCTTACGGCATCAGCTATGGTAAACCCATCCTTTCCACTTTCACTAGATTTATTGTAAATCACACATTCTCCCAAGAGAACTGTGGCCAACCCCCTAACACACACAGTTGATGATGCATTTGACACCAATTCAAGTATATACGTTAAGTGAAGGCGTGGATATAAGAAGCATTGCACTGCACTTGGGCAATCTGCTAGCCAAGTGACGAGCAGTTTCAAGATAATTGGTTGGAGATACGAGTAACCAGGCTTCCCATCTTTATTTTTCATGGAAGAGGCAACAGCCAAGTACCTAACAATACGGTTTAATAGTAGCTCAGGAGCTCCTAACGATGGCATTGGCGCTACAAGCTCAATCCGTATAACCTGCACAATCTCCATTGAAATTAGATTACAGAAAAATAGAGACATACAGTTGCCATTTTGCTCTAGATGGAAGTGAAAAAGAGACGCAAAATGCGACAGCATACCCTTTCCTTGCACTGAGTATTGTCCTTAAGAATGTGAGTAAGAACACTAGCAGCCCTGCAACAAGTCTGTACTTCACAACATTAGCTGGATAATTTTCGGGCAGTAAGCGCCATGAAGAAAATCTAATATTCTATATGATGAAGGTCAATATTTATAAAATCTTCATGCAATATCATGAGATGGTCCAACAAATTTAGGCACTGTATTGCTCTTTCTCAGTAAGTTGATGATGCACAACAGAGAAGTGAGAACATTAGGTTACCTCAAGATCACCATCGCTTTCACTCAATGAAAGACCATGTAACAGCATGCTGCCACATATACAACATATTTAAATAATTTGATCAAATGAACTAGTATTTATATGAAACAAGCAAACAGTCAAGTAATACTTTTAAGATTTAACTAGCTTCTCAGAGTTCAACACTTCCTAGGCTGAATAGCTCAATAATAGAGAAGTGCAGAAATAAAGCATTATGAGTAAACAAACCTTCTAAATGACATGTTCACATCCTCCTCAAGGGGAGCATGAGTCATTGAATTTGGTTGGGGAATTAATGTGGATGTTAACATTGCTTGCCCATCCATGTTTTTCTAGAAAACAAGATCCCAAATTCACAATCAAGAAACAACAGTTTACATACATGTGAGATACTTCTTTTTTAAATTACATAGGCATAATTACTAACAAAAGGAAAATATCAAGTAAAGAGCAAAGCTAAGATATAAACTTCACAAAAGCTCGTAAAAACATGGTCAGCCACAATAAACTCTAGAATGCTAGATGTTCACAAAATGATTTGGAGAATAGAATTCAAAGCGGGTTCTACTTGCTGCTCCTCACCAAGAACTTTGCTAGAAAGGGCATCCAGATTCTTGGGAATCCCAGCAACCAAATCACCAATGCACCTTAGTGCCTGGCAAAATACAAACATTTACTTGAATGTTGAAATGAAGAAAAAAGAATAAATCTAGAAAGAGATCTTACCGAACAGCGCACAGCAATTGGAGCCCACTGGCTTTCAACACCCAGCATTAGCAGATGGTCCAACAACTTTTTCTACAATCAAGAAAACAGGAAACAAGATAATATATCACAAAAACATATAGCTCTTCAGGCAGTCAATTCAAGCAGATACGATTCGTAATGAACCTGAACGAGGACTGTTTATGGGGATGGGTGGTCTTGTTCAAATCTTTATAAGGATCAGCATCTGAACCTCCCATCATCAATAAATTGATAGTCTCCAATGCACTGAGGAAATTAATTGTCTACCGGTGAGTTGTTTTTTCATGGACAACAGCAAATCACCAGTAAGCTAGTGATAGCATGTGAAAGAATCAACAGGAATTGGCAATGGAGGAAAAACAGAAGCCATATAAAGCTATAAACACTTGAATATCTAACTCTTAATTAAACTTGTTTAATAAAAAAATGATATGGATTCTCGTATTCAATTTCAAACTTGATTATGTATTTGAACTCAAATTTGGATTTAAATTCACGTGTATATATATATATATATATGTATATTTTAATAAAATAATAATTTTTTAATTAACATAATAAAATATATTAAAATTAAAAAATTTCGATTAAACTTACGAAATACCGAAATCAAACATTAGAATACTTAAATTTGGCTCACTCAATAAATTAAGTTGCTCGAACTTAACTTAATAACGATCGAGTCGAATTTGAATTTTATTCGAGTTAAATCCTTATAACTTGCTAATAGTGATATATCATTTATACTCTTACTTGTAATATAATATACTAAAAATTTATTTACAGTTTTTAACATATTTATTTATTCACGTGTAAGTTTTTAGAAATTTATAAATTTTTAATAAATTTTTAAATTCTATATTTTTCATTTCTTATAACCTAATATACTAGAAATTCTTTTACATTTTTTAACATATTTATTTAT